ATTTTAAAGAGAATTTAACAGACAACGTGAAAATAAAATCACATAACAATTTGTTATAAATAACAATTTCATACAGACATATTAATAAAATTCGAGTCCTATTAAGGATCATGTCTTCCTATTTTGACGATATAATATTCTGTTGTAGAAATATCATAGCAGAGTGTTTCTCTATTTTAATTTAAAGTTTTGTTAAGTAATATTAAATTTTAAAAATTAGTATTTGCAGTATGTTTAAAATTATATTTACCTTGCAGAATTGAATCACATAATAACTACAAAAATTCACTAAATTAATCCTAATTCTCTTGTGTTCTGCATGAATAAACAACATAAAATGTGTACGAGTGTTGCTGTTGTAAATAGTAAATATTTTGAATGAAAAATTATGTTAAATATTTATTATTTAAATGAAAATACATAGCATACTTTTTTGGGAATTAACAATTAAATTCAAACTGCACATACATAACTCAAAGCTGATACAAAATTTTATTGACAATAAAAGTCGACATATAAGTAAACAAAAATCGTTTAAATTTAACAATGAAAAACACATAGAAATTTACTCATCACTACCCAAAAAAAAAAAAAAAAAAAAAAAATAGGAGCCCTAAAACATAGAAAAACAATTTACAAATGCAAATACTCAACAAAAAGTTCATGTTGTTTTGAATTTTGATTATTTGCAAACATTTAAAGAAAAACTAAAATTAATACGAATGTGAATAAAGGGATTGCAATACTCAAAGCATTTTCTGGTGTATATATAGAAATTATTAATTAGATAAAAGTTCAAATAAATCTTTTCAACGATAATTGATAATTATTTTTTATTTTTATTTGTGTTTTTTTTTTTTCAATTAGGCTGGACAATAGATGTAATTACTCTCCCATGTGAGTTATAATATGTCTATCTTTTTAAGTATTTTCTGGTCATATCGATGTGCCTAGCCCATAAGGCCCCTGCCGTTCCAGTGTTAGTATTATTGCTTATTTCATATTTAATTTTACATTATTTGAAAATAATGTCAATTTCATCTCAAGCAAAAAATTTAAATATATTAAATAATTTTGGAAAGGTATTTGACTGCTTATTTTTCAATTGTTTCAAACTAATTGAATATGAATAGAGCACATGAAAAGTAGATGTTTCACCACCTCCATTATTTTCTACCAACTATATAAAGGATAGTAGAGAGGGTTTCTTCTTTACGTCAAATCTAAGACTTCACATACAAAATTATTTACAAATAGTTACTACAAACCTAAATGTACGCTTTCACACAGCTTCATTTACAATACACCCCTCATGGGTGATTTATTGCATGTCAGTCCGTCTGTCCATGTATTCTTGTGAACAAAATGCAGGTCGCATTTATTATCCGATTGAGATGAAATTTTTCAACCAATATTTGTTTGGCCCAAGAACGAACCCTATTAAAATTGGAGATAATCGGTAAAAAAATTTAGATATAGCTCCCACATATATCTTCTTCCAATTTGTTTTTTATTGTACACCAAACGTGTATTATCAGACCGAATAGTATGGAATTTCGCACATACGATCAGATTGGACATGAAAATGAGTATGCCAAATTTGGTCGAAATCGGTTCAGATATAGCTATATATCTTCGTCCGATTTGGCTTTTATTGTGCACCAAACCCGTAATATCAGCCCAACTGGGATGGAATTTGGCACATACCGAACTGCGTCTAGAAGGTATTATGCCAAATTTGGTGAAGATCGGTTCAGATATAGCAATAGCTCCCATATATATGTTCATCCGATTTGTTGTTTTTTTTTTTTTTTTTTTTTTTGTCCTCCGTAGCCGTAATATGTACTCTGTAACAACAATATTTGGGGAAATATATCAAATGCAGCGCAGAAATACCTTTGCTAAATTTTATCGACATCGGTTCAGATTTGGATATAGCTCCCTTATATAACTTCGTCCGATTTACGTTTTATTGTGCACCAAACGTCTAATAATTGCCCTAATGGGATGGAATTTTGCACATGCCATGTGGTTCAGGACAGGTCAGTCACTGTAGATATACTCGGCAGCACGCCTTTGCAGATGGATCGAGATTTCTTCGAGTTCGGCAGCTCACTGTGGATATGCTCGAGTATCTATGTCTAGGCGTTTGCAGATGGATCGAGGTTCGTTTGGGCTCGGCAGCTCACAGTCGGTATGCTCGGGCTTAGCTATTTAGGTTGTCTAAGACTTATGTGTGGGGTGCGTCTTATAGAGGGTTAAGTCTAAAAATGAATAAATAAAAAAAGAAGAAGAATAATAATATTGCCAACTATCTGCAAAAACAGCTGTTTTGTTGCAATCACATGCAGAAATGTCAAGACGAAGGGGAAGAAAAATAAAGGAAAAGAAGGATGACAATCCGAAATTTCCTGGCAAATTTTCGCAGGAAAATAGGCCCTTTTTTGATTTGCACTGGTAAGAAGATTGGATGTGTGGCTCCAGCCAACCGACAACAGCAAGACCAACAAGAAAACCCGAATTGTTATGTTTCTTTTGGCATTTATTAAAATTTCCTTTCTGCTTTTAAACAAAAAAAGGAATTTAAAGAAATATTAAAAATAATTAATTAAAGGAAAAAACTAAACCCAAACAATGTTTAACCAAACTATACAAATATCAAAACAAAAAAAAAAAAAATAAGAAATCATCTTAAAATTAACCTCGGGAGCCACACCAACACCATCCAATCCAACGTGGGAGGCGCAGATTTGCGGCTTTGTCACTCTGGCAAGCCCTTGGTAATTCCCATAGACATTGTACCTTTTACTTGGACGGCAGGACGGACGACAGCAAGCAAATTAGATTCCACGAACATTACATATCAAGAAAAGAGAAAAATAGAAAAAGTCAATAGAAGGGACAACAAGCAGTTAAGTTTAGAGTCTACTTACCACAATGGGTACAGGATTCCACTTAGGGTTGTGCTCAAGCCAGGGTTAGGAATATTGTTTTGTCCTACTTCGGCGAATATTTGTAAGGCCCCAATCTGCCTTGTTTGACTTTTTCTAAAAATAAAGTGATGTCGTAAAAAGGTTCTGGAATGTAATTACAACGCTAACACCATGAACTTGAACTTTTTACTTATACATTGGGAAGAGCCACCTTCAGATAAGGCCTAAACTACATTTATCAGCCGCCAGATATTTCCTGAAAAGAAAGAAATTTCCTGAAAAGAAAGACATTTCCTGAAAAGAAAGAAATTCCCTGAAAGAAAAGAAATTTCCTGAAATGAAAGAAATTGCCTGAAAAGAAAGAAATTGCCGGAAAGATAAGAAATTTCCTGAAAAGAAAGAGGGTGCCTGAAAAGAAAGAGATTTCCTGGAAAGAAAGTGAAAAAAAGAAAAATGAATTATTATTAGATTGCCTGAAACGAAGAGAAATTAAAGAATATTACGGAATTACTGAATTAATGAAATCAAAAAATCATTTTTTTGTACGATGTATTTTGCTTGATCTTATTCTTGTTGTCCATATAATTTTTACTAAAGATCCTTTGTTAAGCTTGAGTATGAATAAATTTGTGGAATTTAAACTGAAAACAATGTCTTCGGCTTAAAACTGTTTAAAAAGGTGGTAGGGATGAGATGGAGGGGTAAGTGAAGGTTTCGAATATGGGGCACCCTGTGGATAGGGGTGTCATGGCGAGAGGTAATCTCGGTGGGTGGGTAGTTTCCCTAGCCGCATAGCCGCTAGGGGAAACCTGGTTCAAATTAGGAAGATATTTGGATAAATAAAAGTGTTAATGGTGAGTTCACTGTAAATGTTACGGTCATGTAGTTTGTGTTCGTTTTTTTAGACATATTCGAGGTTCTCCACCACACAAATAAAATCATTCAGTTGGAATCAGACCGGTATGATTTTTTTTCTTTTGTCAACCGAAATGTCCCAGAGTGGCACGAACCACACCTCATCCGACGAGCCATAGCCGCGCAAAACGCCAGCATACCGGCAACGCCACTCGGAGACACACATTTGCGGTATTCCGTTTACATAATAAACCCCGGTTGTTACAAAATGGCGCCCAGAACGTGGGGCCTGAAATATGTCTGTTTAGTTTCAATAGTTTTTAGGATTAGATTGGTTTTCTTTCTGTGAGTTTGTGATAAGCCCCGTAAAGGTAACACAAGAGTCCCTGACGCGTCGCTTTATCGAAGATTCGGTAAGAAACAGTCTGTCATTGATTAGTCACTATGAAGCAGTTAAATTTTACTAGTGTCTTAGTAGTTATTTCCTTGGTGACTTCTAATCGCACTAGTCGTTAGAAATCGTTTCAGATTCCGTATTAATTTATTTAGCTTTTGAATAGGCCTTACCAATATTTTTCAATTTTTCAAGGTTATCCAGCCTCGTTCGTGGAGTCCCATCTAACAGAGCCATGGTGGGCTTGGAGATGCGCTACTAAACGAATGGGAATGGCAAAACTTGTTAGAATTTGGAGCTTGTTGGCAATACCTCCTTTAGGGGATTTTTTTACAAATTTAGTTTTTAGTTTCAATACGCAAAGTAAGAGTAGATTTAAAGTACGGATATACAACTGAGTTCCATTGGTCTGCGACGTGTTTGGCTCCAGGCCAGGATCGTATTGCAATGGCACTCCTCCAGGGATGTCTGTTTCTGCTTCTTATTACATTTTTCATCAATTTTTGTTTTGACAGTAACTCACCATAACCTTGTATTGAAAATTTTGAATCAGGAATTTGACTTTCACTTACCGTTTTTTATCTATTATCCCACCACCGAACGACGCATTACATTGAATTTTATTAGCTTCTTTAGACAATTATTGTCATCATTGCTAGTTATTATTGTTTGTGGATTATTCTCGAAGTATTACCGCATGCTTTAAAAATACTTTGAAATTTCCCTTGTATCTTCAATGATGTATATTGACTTACTTCTTTTCTAATTGCTTGAAAAGGTTTTTCAGTTTTTTGAAATCAGCTAAAAGAAATAGCAATATGCAGACAAGATCGGCCAGTGCAGCAGGTAGACCTATCCTAGGGCATAGTGGGGCAGTACTCACTACCACAGCTGTAACTGTTAGCAATGTCACTACTACAGCCGCCAGCATTCTAACTTCCACATCAAATATTATGACAACCGCTCATAATGTACCCCTTACCACCCATAGTGTCATTACAGGAGCCACAAACGCTCCTCCGTCAGACCTGAACATACCAGCAACTTCCGCCTTGTCATCAGCTGCGCCACCACTTCCCTCCGGCATACAAGAAGCCTCAAACTCTTTTAACACCTCATTATGGTCGCATGGAAGTGTTGCATCTCCAAGTTACAGTGTCTTGACAGGACTGCAAAAACTGCAGAGCAGGCCTGGAATTCCGCCAGCAGATCCAGTAGTCAGTGCAGGGGTCAAAGAGATCATCAACTCGGCCATCGCCTTGTCACAGCTGCAGTACCGTCAGCAAGAAGAAGAGAGGTTGAGAGCTCTTATACCTCGTATTGCCGAAGCCACCAGGTGTTCATTGATAATGGGTAACGATCCAGGAAACAATTTGTTTCCACCATCCCACTTGACGATGTCGGCAGCGACACATGCACCGGACCGCTCCTCGTTGGAGTCAGCCATCGTCACTTCAGCAGCGTTGGCGTCAGGCTTAAGAGCGCAACATTCACATGTGGCCATGGGACATCCACCGCCCTTGTCACAACAATCAAACTTTGGTTATCCTCCAGTTCCGATGGTAAACCCACAACAACCTGTGACGAGTGTACCAGTATCTGCGTTTAACCAGCCACCACCAAATCTTGCAGTACCTCCGCCAAATTTCGCATTGCATTCAGCACGGAGTACGCAGCCACCAGAAAGATTACCGAACAGCTATAACATTAGACAGCCAGGAAATTTACGTGCAGAGCCTTCGGGACGGTGCAATCTCGAAAAATGGGGAGTGCGTTTCGATGGAACGGACAAGACTATGAATGTCCAGGAATTCATTTTTCGAGAAGGAGCGCTCATGAAAGACTACAATTGTCCCGAGGAGGAGTTCGTGACCAAGTTTCACCAGCTGTTAGACCCACCCGCATTAGACTGGTACTGGAATAGCCGGAAGTTCATGCCGTTCCGGACGTGGCGCGAGATAGAGAGAGCACTCTTGATGCAATACCAGCGCTTTGAAAATGAATTTCAAATCCAAATGCAGATCCTTAACCGGCGACAGTTACCGCAGGAGACCTTTGATGAGTTTTACAATGCCGTTCTTAAACTCCGTACTCAGCAAGAGACGCCTTATAAAGAGCAAGAAATGGTTGAAATTATGAGAGGAAATCTTAAGCCAGCCCTTGCCCAGATGATATTTTCGGCGCAAATTCAAGATTTGGGGGAGTTCTATAGACAGGTGAAACGAGCTGAAACCTTAATTGCGAGCCATAGGCAGCAGAGGTATGCCGTGCCCCAGAGAGTTCATGAGCTTGATTGGCAACAAAATGAAGAATTTTCAGCGGAAGTAGGTGCAATATGCGTTACATCTAGATATAGATGCTGGAACTGTGGAGTGATGGGACACAGCTGGATGGAGTGTAGAGAGCCCAGAAAGACTTTTTGTTACAAATGTGGCCAGGAGGGTGTTACCGTTCCAGATTGCACTAGGTGTCAGGGAAACCGGCCCAAGAACCCACCTCAGTCTGGGCAGGTGAGGTCAACCCCAGTCTAAGCCCAGAAAACACAAATATGGTAACTCATGGTAGCTTCTACCAACTAGCCCGAAAAATAAAACTTCTCAATGACCCAGAAGCAAGAATAACTCCAAATATCGTGAAGCAAGATTTAATTAGGGAAAAGATCCGAAATAGCCTACACCAAGCCTACCTAAGAAATGAAAAATCATACAATATGCGGAGTCGCCTTGTCAAATTCATTCCAGGACAAGAGGTTTTCCGTAGAAGTTTTAAGCAGAGCGATTTTAAAAGTAATTACAATGCCAAACTTGTTAAGAAATTTTTTAGATGTCGTATAGTTAAACCTGTTGGAAATTGCCTTTACGAGGTCGAAGATCTTAAAGGTAATCCTATTCGCATTTTCCACGCCAAGGATTTGAAACAGTAATATCCTCAACTTTGATTACATTTAGCCCACATTTATTTAAAATTTTAAAGAGTCGAATAGTTTAGAAAAAGGCTTTAAAATTGGATTTTAAATTTGCTCGTTCTAAAGTTCTTTTCAGTATTACCTTATTCACAGTAATGAAAATTTTAAACATTAAATTTTAAACTGAAGTTTTTCAAGAATATATTTTTTTATTAGAATATAGAAAGTTCATTGTACTATCCCTGTAGTTCGCTCAGAATGAATTAACCTGAATTACTAGCGATATTCGGGGACTAAAGTGACATTGCTGCTGGCCAACAATTTCTCAACCGAATCAGAAATAAAAAAAAAATAGTAGAAACGCAAGACAGACCAAGATATATTTTGAATTAGCTGCGATACGAAATTTCAAAACTCACCGATTTCAATTTCCATTCACTTCTGTTTCCATTTGATCAATATATTTTTAGTAATTTTTATAGGTTTCAATTTTCACAATTTTTCCCCTCCATCATCCACCTTTTCTACATTTCTTTTCTTTTTTTAATAATTATTTTTCTAAACTCTCAATTCACATTCACCATCATCAACCTTTTCTTCATTTCTTTTTTTTTTTTTTAATAATTATTTTTCTTAACTCTCAATTCCCTTTTGTTTTGGTTTCGATATTCACAATATTTTGACTTTTTTCTTCTTCTTCTTTTTCTTTTTCCTTCTTTTTTTGTTCTTCTTCTTTTTTTTCACCCACATAACTCACTCACGGCGAATTAATGATTGATCTTCACTTTTTTGAATGAGTGTATTTTTTTCTATTACCTATTGTAAATGCATCTCATTCATTCAGCCACTAGTTGCGCCACACACACATACACATGCATATAATTTTTTCCGTTAGCTTTCGAAGGTCAGGAATATTCCCATGCCTTTTTTTGCTTTCAATTTATTTTTGCCATTGACTTATTCCTTTTCATAAAACATTTTGTAATAAATATTTTAATATATATTTTAATTTTTTTGGCATATTCTTTATCAAACCCCACAATATAATTGCCTTGCAATATTTGCTCACACACACTCACTGTTTGTAATTGCGTGGTTAATTTTTCATTCACTTTTTTACACTTTTCACACACAAAACACTACATCATCAATTACACGACGCGAGAAGTTTAATTAAACACTTTTTCTTATCCACTAAAAATATTTTACACTGTACTTATCTTTATTCTATCAATTTTCGACGACACCGAGAATCACACAGATTTGCATGTACTCATCGACATCCAATTAGAATTACAATAAACGACGCTAACGCCGGTTGCCATTCATAAAAGTCAGTTTCATTCAATGACAGTTTAGATTTGACTAAATACTTACAGCGCGACGCCTTGCGTACGTCGTATACATCATTTACACCATGCGTAAGACTTCAGTCAAAGCGTGATGAATTAAAACTTCATAAGTTAACAATATTGGTGTATGAAAAATTGGAAAGTTGTTGATAGAGTTGGCAGATCGAGAAGGCTTAGAGTTGCCAAATAAAGATTCCTGTTGTAGGTAACGCATATTAAGCAGATTTGTATCTAAATTAATGTATCAAATGTCGCACTTTTTCCCTCCTATCCCTTGATAAGAATATCGGCAGGATAGTTGGCTTTGTGGGGTGCGTCTTATAGAGGGTTAAGTCTAAAAATGAGTAAATAAAAACAAGTAAAAAACATTAAGTTCGGCCGGGCCAAACTTTTAATACCCTCCACCTTAGGGTAAAAGAAACATTAGAAGAAATGTGGCAAAAACCATAAAAATGCCGAATATCGGGAGGTACCGTTATATGGGGGCTATGTCAAATCATGGACCCATTCATGCAATGTTTCGCCACCGAAGCTGGAACCTTTTATGACCAACAAATACCAATTTTCAGACAAATCCGTGAAAAAATGTGGCGCAAATCTTCAAAATACCGAATATCGGAAGGTACCTTTATATGGGGCTATACGACAACGTGGACCTATACATGCAATGTTTTGCCACACGCTCAGGGACCCGTTATGACCTACAAATACAAATTTCCAGACAAATCCGTGAAAAAATGTGGCATAAATTATCAAAATACCGAATATCGGGAGGTACCGTTATATGGGGACTATACCAGAACGTGGACCGATATATCTCATTTTCAATACCAACCATCCTAGACACAATGCAAATAGCTCTGCTAAATTTTGGCGCTCTACGTCAAATAATGTGGGCTGTATCGTGATTTCAACAGACAGACAGACAGACGGACAGACAGACAGACAGACGGACATCATTAAATCGACTTAGAATTTTATGCTGATCATGAATATATATACTTTATGGGGTCAAAGACGAATATTTAAGGATGTTACAAACGGAATGACAAAGTTAATATACCCTCCTTTCCAAGGTGGAGGGTATAAAAAGAAGAAGAATAATAATATTGCCAACTAGCTGCAAAAACAGCTGTTTTGTTGCAATCACATCCAGAAATGTCAAGACGGAGGGGAAGAACAACAAAGGAAAAGAAGGATGACAATCCGAAATTTCCAGGCAAATTTTCGCAGGAAAATAGGCCCTATTTTTGATTTGCACTGGTAAGAAGATTGGATGTGTGGCTCCAGCCAACCGACAACAGCAAGACCAACAAGAAAACCCGAATTGTTATTTTTCTTTTAACATTTATTAAAATTTCCTTTCTGCTTTTAAACAAAAAAAGGAATTTAAAGAAATATTAAAAATAATTAATTAAAGGAAAAAAACTAAACCCAAACAAAGTTTAAACAAACTATACAAATATCAAAACAAAAAAAAAAAAAAAATAAGAAATCATCTTAAAATTAACCTCGGGAGCCACACCAACACCATCCAATCCAACGTGGGAGGCGCAGATTTGCGGCTTTGTCACTCTGGCAAGCCCTTGGTATTCCCATAGACATTGTACCTTTTACTTGGACGGCAGGACGGACGACAGCAAACAAATTAGATTCCACGAACATTACATAGCAAGAAAAGAGAAAAATAGAAAAAGTCAATAGAAGGGACAACAAGCAGTTATGTTTAGAGTCTACTTACCACAATGGGTACAGGATTCCACTCAGGGTTGTGCTCAAGCCAGGGTTAGGAATATTGTTTTGTCCTACTTCGGCGAATATTTGTACGGCCCCAATTTGCCTTGTTTGACTTTTTCTAAAAAAAAAAATAAAGTGATGTCGTAAAAAGGTTCTGGAATGTAATTACAACGCTAACACCATAAACTTGAACTTTTTACTTATACATTGGGAAGAGCCACCTCCAGATAAAGCCTAAACTACATTTATCAGCCGCCAGATATTTCCTGAAAGGAAAGAAATTGCCTGAAAGAAAAGAAATTTCCTGAAAAGAAAGACATTTCCTGAAAAGAAAGAAATTACCTGAAAGAAAAGAAATTTCCTGAAAAGAAAGAAATTGCCTGAAAAGAAAGAAATTGCCGGAAAGATAAGAAATTTCCTAAAAAGAAAGAGGGTGCCTGAAAAGAAAGAGATTTCCTGGAAAGAAAGTGAAAGAAAGAAAAATGAATTATTATTAGATTGCCTGAAACGAAGAGAGATTAAAGAATATTAAGGAATTACTGAATTAATGAAATAAAAAAATCATTTTTTGTACGATGTATTTTGTTTTGATCTTATTCTTGTTGTCCATATAATTTTTACTAAAGATCCTTTGTTAAGCTTGAGTATGAATAAATTTGTGGAATTTAAACTGAAAACAATGTCTTCGGCTTAAAACTGTTTAAAAAGGTGGTAGGGATGAGATAGAGGGGTAAGTGAAGGTTTCGAATATGGGGCACCCTGTGGATAGGGGTGTCATGGTGAGAGGTAATCTCGGTGGGTGGGTAGTTTCCCTAGCCGGATAGCCGCTAGGGGAAACCTGGTTCAAATTAGGAAGATATTTGGATAAATAAAAGTGTTAATAATGAGTTCACTGTAAATGTTACGGTCATGTAGTTTTTGTTCGTTTTTTTTTTTTAGACATATTCTAGGTTCTCCACCACATAAATAAAATCATTCAGTTGGAGTCAGACCGGTATGAATTTTTTTCTTTTGTCAACCGAAATGTCCCAGAGTGGCAAGAACCACACCTCATCCGACGAGCCATAGCCACGCAAAACGCCAGCATACCGGCAACGCCACTCGAAGACACACATTTGCGGTATTCCGTTTACATAATAAACCCCGGTTGTTACATATGACTGCCTCTAATATTTTATGTTTGAGCTATGTAGGAGCTCCTGCGAAACTACGTGCCGAAGCCCCTGTGAAACAAGTTTTTCCAGACAACGATTTTTTTAGTCGGAGGACAAAAGATAATTAAAACAGGTAAAAAATTAAGTTCGTCCGGACCGAACTTTAATGTTAAAAG